CCTGGAGTTGGATGACTGTCTTGGCTTCTAATCTTCCAGGGTCTATTCCTAGCTCTGCCAGATGAGCTCTTCTTCTTGGCCTGGGGTCTCTCCATCTATTATAAACATGGGTCACTGCATCTGCTGTCACCCTGTAGCCATAGCAACAATGGACCACATGACAGGTGTCTGATCGCCATCAGACATTTTCTGACATGACATGCACTTCATCCTTCCCCTGCTAACCCAGATTCTATTCGGACTGGTGGCATTGCTAGTCTCCAAGGGGAACCGCTCAGGCATGGGAGGCCTGGAGCTGACAGCATTAATTAAACCTCTTATTTCCCCAGAACATTTTGCATTGCCAGACCTGAGAGCCAAGAAGACCTCCAAGGGAAACTCTAATGAGAGAGACTGCGAATCTAACACCATGGACTGAGGCACTTTCGTTCCACAGCTAGCGGCAAATGGGGTTCAGTGGGGAAATGTGCCTGGCATACAGCAGGCACACAATAAATAGAATAGTCATTGTAATGGAATGGAGCTCACCTAGTGTGTGGGATTCCTCCCAGCCACTGGAAGTTCTGCATGAGGTCATCATGTAAGTCATTCATTCTTTCAACACTTGCTAAGTGCCTGCTGTATGCACTCAGCATGGAAGCTCTAGAGATCTTTGCTTGTTGAGTGAATCCCATAACCCATAACCCATATACCCATATGGCAGTGACTGGGGCTCAGAGACATTGGGAAGTAGGTAGAGAGGCATCTGAAGGGGTTGGTAGTGATCATACCACAAAGGGCTTTGGATCTAAGCTGATGCCCTTGGATTTTAATCCTGGGAAATTTTGGAGGCCATTATGTCTGTGAGTGACATGATCAGCCTTGCATTTCAGAAATACACATTTTGATGTCCCGTAACATTTGTGGTGTTTCATTCTGTGCACAGAGATTAGAGGGAGACCAAAGAAATGATGAAATTCTGCACACTGCCTCTTGGAAGCTGGCTGCCACACCACGAGAAACCTAAGACACATGGAGCGGCCATGTGGAGGAGCACCAAAGCTCACTGGTTGGCAACCCCCGTTGGGCTCCCAGTGGCAGCCAGCACCAACCTCTAGCCACATGAGTGAGCCACCACCCATCTGAGTCCAGTCAACCCACAGAATCTTGAGGAGTAATAAAATGATTGTTTTTAGCCACTTAAGTCATGAGTGGCTTAGTGTGCTGCTATAGATAACTGAAACAGTGTGGGCACCAGGTGGAACTCAGATCTGAGGCCCAGCAGAGAGGCCAGGTTGCAGAGGTCATAGATTTGGGAGTCATGAGCATCATGGGAATTTGAAAACCCTGGGGTGGCTGAGGTCACCCCTGGACAAGGTGTGGAATGAGTTAAGGAGGCACTTTGAGCTCCCTTCAACATTTACAGGGAGAAGGGATGGTGGACGTGCAAAGAGTCATCAAAGGAGGTGGAGAAGAATTTAAAGTGACTAGAGGAAAATCTGGGAGCTCTGGTGGCATAGTGCCTAAGGCACTTGATTGCTAACCAGAAGGCTGGCGGTTCAAACCCACGAGCCACTCCTCAGAAGGAAGATGGGGCAACTACTTCCATAGTGATAGCTCCTCAGAAACCCAAGGAAGAGTCACTATGAGTCAGATATGACTTGACAGCAATGAGTTGTTTTTTTTTTTTAAGAGGAAAATCTAATGATGTACTGCTTGGGGGCAAATCCGCTGCAGAAGACTTCTGCAAAGTGTTGAAGAGCAAAAATGCCACCTTCCCGACTAAGGTGTACCTAACCCAGGCCATGGTATTTTCAATCACCTCATCTGTATGCAAAAGCTGGGCAATGAATAAGGAAGGCCAAAGAAGAATGGATGCTTTCGAATTATGGTGTTCGCAAAGAATATTGAATATTCAGTGTATCCACATAAGTATCTGTCTTGGAAGAAGCACAGCCACAATGCTCCTTAGAAGTGAGAATGGTGAGACTTTGATGTACTTTGGACAAGATACCTGGAGGGACCAGTCTCTGGAGAAAGACATCATGCTTGGGAAAGTAGACGGTCAATAAAAAAAGAAGTAGACCCTCAACAAGATGGATTGGCACAGAGACTGTAATAACAGGCTCAAACATACCAAGGACCGTGAAGACAGCACAGGACCAGGCAGTGGTGTTTCATTCTGTGCACAGAGGATCACTATGACTTGGAACCGACTGGATGGCACCTAACAACAACAACAACAACATGGATAATGAAAAGATCATCAACTCTTCAAAGTGAGACAGACCTGCTTTTGAATTTCAGATTGGTTACTGACATGCTGCTTGACCTCTCTGGGCCTTACTGTCTTCATCTATAAAATGAAAGTAATAATAGTAGCTATCAATATGGTGAGCTCTGGTAGCATAGTGCCTAAGGTACTTGACTGCTAACCAGAAGCCTGGCTGTTCAAACCCACCAGCCACTCCTCAGAAGGAAGGTTGGGCAATCTACTCCCATAGTGATACTGCCTCGGAAACCTAAGGAGGTGTTGCTATGAGTCAGATCCAACTAGATGGCAGTGGGTTTGGTTTTTTGGTATATGGTAGGTAAGGAGCTCTGATGGTGCAGTGCCTAAGGCATCTGACTGCTAACCAGAAGGTTGGGGGTTCAAACCCAGCAGGCACTCTTTAGAAGCAAGACTGGACAATCTACTTCTATAAAGATTTACCATCTCAGAAACCCAATGGGGGTCGCTATGAGTCGGAATTGACTCGATGGCAGTGGGTTAGGTTTTTGGTATATAGTAGATAAATGTGATCACGGATACATGTGAAACCCCCTGGCACTTTACCTGGCACACAAAAGTTCCTTGATAAATATTCACTTAAAATTGAATGCATATTGTGTATTTCACTGTACATAAATTATATTTCAATAAAATGTATTTTAAAAAAATAAAGAAAAAAAATTGAGTGCATAATTTGAGTTTCCTGAGCTTCTCATGGAACTTGGCAATAATCCCAGGACCTTGCTCCTCACCAGATCCTGGCCATTCAGAGCCACAAGGAATCCTAGATGCCATTTGTTTTGCTCCCTTGCTTTATAGATGGTACAGATGAGGCCAAGGGAAACTGTGAACACGGAAGACTGCTAGTACATGTGGACGCCATCAAAAGCCCCAAATAAGAATGGTTCAGGCTACAGTTTACAGACCCAACATTGATGTATTCACAGAACCACAAGAATTGAATTCACCCTCTTTGATACACTCTGACATTTGTGGTTGCTAACACACCCACACCTAGCTCTAGGTAAACTCCTTACAAACAAAGTAGAGGAAGAATGACTGTGGAAGGGAGTTCTTTTAAAGTGCTCTCCAAGTTCTAGGTTTGGGCTACTGGAGGGCAGGGACATGCCCCGAGCATCTCTGAAATGTCCACCCCCTTCTCACAAGCGCCCAGCATGCCTAGAGCACCATCACTCCTAGCAAATGTTTGCTGGATTAACTGCTCCTCACACAGAAAACACCTAAAACAGTGCCCCTCATGCCGGGAATTCTCATTTCCCTCACTCTAAGCATCCTGCTTTTTTGTCTACCTCCATGAATCAAGTGTGTACTCCTAGCTGCTGCATTGGATACACTTTTTTTTCTCTGAAGAGTTCTTTTGTAGAGTTTGATGTGTGGACTTGGAATCCCCAAACCTGAGTTCGGGTTCAGGATGGATGGATGATTACAGCTGTCCCACGTCCCCTCCAGGCCTGTTTGCTCACCTGGAAATAGAGATTAGAACACCTACCAGGCCGCTGTGAAGATCCATTTAGGTAATAAGGATGTATTACAGGGTCAGTGAAGTCCCTGGGTAGTGCTAACAGTTAATGCACTTGGCTGCTAACCAAAAAGTTGAAGTTCACCTAAAGGCGTCTCAGAAGAAAGGCCTGGTGATCTTTTTCCAAAATGTCACAGCCATTGAAAAGCCATGGAGCACAGTTGTGCTCTGACACACGTGGGCTCACTGTGAGTGGGAATCCACTAGTGAGCAACTGGTTTGGTTTGGTTTTGCTTTAATCCTCCTAAAACGAGTCTTTTCTTTGAGTGAAACCTGCAGACTTGGAATCCCAAACCTGAGCTTGGGTTCAGGATGGATGGATGATTACAGCTCCCACGTCCCCTCCAGGCCTGTTTCCTCACCTGGAAATGGAGATTAGAATACCTGCCAGGTGGCTGTGAAGATTCAGTGCTACCTGGTCAACTCTAAAGGGATGCAGATGTAACCAGAACCACTGTAACACTCTTCTCCAGGACACTGTGCACTGCAGTAACTCCTCCTGCTACCTGCGTCTCTGCTCCTGTGCAAATCCCTGTTGTTGTTGTTGTTGTTGTTATGTGCCATGGAGTCAGACCCGACTCATAGCGACCCCTCCTTGTGGTTTCGGAGGTAGTATCACCATGGAAGTAGATTGCCCAACCTTCCTTCCCAGGAGTGGCTGGTGGGTGCAAACCCCTGGGAGTTCTGGAAATGGCACAGTCCCTGCTTGTATGGCTGTGTGTTTCAAAGACTCTTGGAGGGCACGATTTTGCAGCCTCCTTGGCCAGAGGCTGCAGGAAAAAGGAGTGGGCAAGTGGTTATTAGTCTGGTAAAATGACCTCTACCCAGACAGAGTCTGCAGATCTGGGTTCAAGCCTCGGTTCACATACAGTTAACACACAGTGTGACCTCCACCAGCTAGTGCCCTTCTTGGGCTCAAGTGTCCTGTACGTAAAGGTTGAATGAAGAATGGCCTGAGACAACCCGAAGAATCCTTCCACCCGCGAGGCTCTTGCCCCTTTGGGCGGGGGTCTGGTAACATGTTGGCGGGAGGAGGGTGGCTGGTTGACGTGGTGGGTGCGGGCGCAGAGCCCGCGCGGCCAACCTCCTTCTCTGACGTCCTCGCCGCCGCCAGCCCGCCCTGCCCGCCCTCCCGCGGCGGGAGCGCAGCTGTTCGCCGGATCCCAGGAGCAGGCGGCGGCGGGCGGCGGGCGGCGGGCGGCCGGGAGGAGCGCGGCGGAGCGAGCCCGCGCCGGAGTCCGCACTATGGTGCTGTCGGTGCCAGTGATCGCGCTGGGCGCCACGCTGGGCACAGCCACCAGCATCCTTGCGCTTTGCGGGGTCACCTGCCTGTGCCGGCATATGCACCCCAAGAAGGGGCTGCTGCCGCGCGACCGGGAACCCGACCCGGAGAAGGCAAAGCCCAGCGTCCTCCGACCTGCCCAACAGGTGAGCAAGGGTGGCGCCGCGGGCCGCCGGGGGCTGGGGGGTCGTGGAGCTGCTGGACCTTTCTAATATGCGCTACGGAGCAGGGCGGGGAGGGGGACGGCTGACGTGCTGGAGGATCAGCCGAGGGGACAGGGAAGCCTGGGGGAGGGGTGGTCGTGGGGCACAGTGGGGTGTGGGAAGTTTGGGGCGAGGAGTGGGGGGCAACGACAACGAAGGCAAAAGAGAAGGGCCGGGAGGCGACGGGCCAGGGGACTTGGAAAGGAATGGGGGCTGGGAAGGGAGTGTGGGGGGCTGGGAGGGGCGGAGTAAAGGGAGCGGAGGCTGGGAGGGGAATGGAGGCCTGAGGGGAATGTGGGAGAGGAGCTGTGAGCAGACTGGGGAGAGGAACTGTGGGGCAAGAGAGCTTGCAGAATTGGGGGGAGGATGATTGGGGCTGTGAGAGAGAAGAGCAGAGGTGGGGGGTTGTGGGGCTGCTGAAAGGAAGGCTGAGAATGAGGCAAGCCCTCAGGAAGCCAGAGGGGAGGGGGCTGCTGTCCATGGGGGTGGGGAGCTGGGGGCAGCCAGGCAGGGGGTGCCTGGAATCTAGAGAGGCAACCCAGGCATGGAGGGGCCTAGAGGACCCTACCCCCTCCCAGCAGCCTGGTGTTCCAACCAGCCAGCCAGAGGGGTGACTGTGGCACCCCAGTACATCCCTGAAGATGTCCCTGGGGACCAGAGGGCATTTGCTGATTCCCCAGAGCCCCCCTTTGGCAGGAAATGGGCGTGTTCTCCGTTGTACAGTGCAGAAGGGATCTGAGTAAGAGGTTTGGAAGGACCTCCCTACAGAGGCTCTGGATCCTGGATGCATTTCCTAATTGGGGAGCAGAAGGTCCTTTGGAGAACTGGGAGGGAAAAGTCTTGCTAGAGTGATTTGAAGAAAGGGCCCTGGGGCAGGGGGGGTGACTTCAATGACCTCCTGTGGTCCTTGAGGCTCCTGATGTCCCTTATAGTTTCAGACACAACAATGCTGGGATTCCGCCTTCCCTTTCCCAATCAATTATTCAGAAGCTCCCAGGACCCCTTGTGGGGGCCTATGACAGTCACTGTATAGTGAGAGTGGAGAGCAAATGGCTTCTGTCCTTGAGGCACCTACAAGCCAAGAAGAATAACATTGGCACTGGCAGAAATAGGATCTGGCTGGGAGTGGGTGTGGAACCTGCAAGGATCTGGAAATGGGAGTCGCGGCTCCCCACTGGTAGGGCCGGGGGTGAGGGTGGGTGAGCCTTTCTCTAGAAGTTTTTCCAGAAGAGTGGACTGTGGCCTTTCAGCCTTCTCTCCCACCTATTAGACTTGAGGGACAGTCACTCTTCTGCCTTTCACAGTGGTGGCTCTCCAAGTGCTGTCCCCTCCTCTTCCCAGAGAGCACCTCTGGAAGGGAGTCCGTGTCAGTGACCTCTAAGGTGCCTTCCAACTCTTTGTCTCATTGACTCCTGATTACCCACACAATGGCCATTGATCTGTTAAAGACAAATCAGAACACACTTCTCCCCTTCTTGGAATCTCCCATAAGTTCTCACTGAGCTTGGCATAAATGAGAGCAAACCATTACATGACTTTATACTTATTAATACATTTAATCCTCATACTAACTCAGTAAGGAAGCTCTGCTGTTATCTTGACTTACAGATGAGGAAACTAAGACTCAGAGAGGGTGAGTAAACTTGCCCAAGACCACACAGCTAGAGAAGTTTTAGAGCTAGACTCTAGCCAAGCTAGCCTGGTTCCAGAGTTCCTGCTGTTAGCTACTCCACTCCACTGTCTCACCTGCTTCATCTGGCAGATGTCAAGTTCATGCCCAACTTCCCCCTTCACCACCAGCTTCAGCTCCCTGGAGTTAGGATGTTTCTTGTAAGGCACCAAGCTCTTTCCTGCCTCCCCACCTCTTGTACCATTTTTTCTCTGGCTTGTCACACAGAAGACTCCTCCTCATGAGTTAGATCTCTTTCTGTTTAATTGTTACCTCCTCAGAAGGGATTTTCCCATATGTAATAAAGAGTGCTGGTGGAATGATGGTTAAGTGCTCAGCTGCTAACGAAAATGTTGTGTTTGAACCCACCAGTGCACTGCAGGAGAAAAGATCCGATGACCTGTTCCTGTGAAGGTTGCAGCCTAGGAACACTGTGGGCCAGTTCTACTCTGTCCTATGGTGTCCCGATGAGTGGTAATACACTTTACGACACCTAACAACAATACACATGCCCCATTACCCTCTCTTATATCATTCCATCCAGTTTCTTTTGTTGTCTGTGTCACAATTGCATATGATCTGTCTTATTTGCTCGCTTACATAATATTTTCCCCACATGAGAATGTAAGACTCATGACAGCAGGAACTGTGCAGTCCTATGCACAGGCCTGCTTTATTCTCTGCCCCTGCTCAGTGCCTGGCGCCTAATAGGTGCCCAATAAGAAACTGTTGACCTAAAAAGGCATCCAGGCTGCTACCCATCCAGGCTTCCACCCATCCAGGCTTCCACCCATCCAGGCTTCCACCCATCCAGGCTTCCACCCATCTGGGATTGTTGTCTCAGGTATTTCTTCAGATGGGGGTGGTGCATGTGCCCTGACTTTGCAGTTCAGGGCTAGCTCAGCAGGGGCACAATCAATATTTGCTGATACGTCATGGCAGCCCCTCGATGACCAAGGATCTGGGCAACCTGGTGCTAAATCCGTAGATGTGAATATGGTAAAGCGGAGAAGCTGCCTGAGCTGGCTCAGCTGCTATTGTGCTCAGACAGATTCAGCCACTGACCCAGATAAAGTAAATAGAGAAAAGACAACACAATTGACATTTCAAAAAACTAGAGGAGATGGTGTTAGGGGTGGCAGGTGACAGCAGGGCACGTTCAGAGCACTTATTGACAAGGAGGGGAAGAGCCAGGGAAGGCTGTCTAAGGTGTCTCTTGAAGAGAGAGCATATGGGGGCTGGGGAAGGGAAGATAGGTTCTACACTCTACAACCTCCGCAGAGCTGTCCCAGGCTTACAATGTCCCACTGAGAATGAGGATGCCCGTAAGACACAGATCTATCGCCCATGTCTCTGTCAGTCTCTGTCAGTTACTGCCTGTGTTGCTGGAAAGTTCCTTGGATTTCTGGCCTTGCCTGGGAATCTGATTCCTGGTACTGAATGGGTTGGGTGAAGTTGAAGTGTATGGTGATTTTGAAAAGAACTTTAAAGTTCTTTACCTGGGATCCACAGACACCCCTTACCTGAAGGAGTCTGTAGATAGAATTTAAGGGGCTCATGATCTTGGACTGGGGAAATTTTTGCGTCTCTATTCTCACTAAACTCTTACAGAAATTTAGCATTTCCTACTGGTGGGAATATAAGCAACAAACTACAACAGTACCAACAATACGTGTGACTCTGTCCTCAAGAGAAATCACAGACACGTTCATAGCCCACGGCACCTGTTGCAGATAGGAGACAATATCCTCTGTGTTCATGTCTAATTCTAAATTAGGGGACTCATTAAATCCCTTTTAAGGTCCTGTTATTTTATAAACTGATGGATTGGATTTGTTAGATATCCCTTTGGAGTTATATGTTTTTTATTTGCTGCTTCTCAAACTACTCTGAGAAGGTGTCCAGAGGCTTCTCCAGACATTGGTGGAACCCGTGGCCATGGAGCTGTGCTGAAGGTGAGAGGGGACAGAGTGGAGGCTCTCGGTCATGTGTCACCTGCCATGCCTTCAATTCATTTTTCTTCTTTGTCTTTTTCTACATACACACTCTTGACTCTTTATCCTGCCATCTTAGACAATCCCGGGCTCTTTAGGGGCCTCAAGAAATTCAGTCTTCCTACGGCCCCCTCACGGTCCAGCAGGACCACCTGAGACCTCCCTGTTGTCCGCCCAGCCTTCCAAGCTTGATTGCTCTGCAGTGGCCTGGCCACCTGAGCAAGGAGACAGAGCGGGAGTTGATTACCGTCACTGTTCCTTCCGAGCGCATCAGTGAGAGGTGCAGGCCCGTCGGCTCCTGCTCCCTGAATGTTCTTTTCACGCTTGTCTGCATCGATTTACCATTCACCCCATTCTTTGTCCTTTTGGAGAAAGCCTTCTTTTTCGGTTAATGCAAAGAACGAGATGAAACCCCTGCATGGTGCCTATGACTAGCTCGCTCAGCTGCTGACTGAAAGGTCGGAGGTTCGAGTCCACCCAGAGTGCCTCAGAGGAAAGGTCTGGCAATCTGCTTCTGAAGAATCAGCTACTGGAGCACCGTTCCACTCTGAAACATAAGGGGTCGCTATGAATCAGACTCAACTCAATGGCAACTGATCGAACAACTTGTTAGCAAGCAGGGAGACGTGTACCTCTTCCCCACTGCTCACTACCCTGTAGACCTATCAGTCAGAGGCATTTGGGTCTTACTTTCAAAAAGCTCTGGTTTCAGCATCCTGTTTTTCTCTCCACATGGTGCTTACCTTGTGCCTTTAAGTGACTCCTCTCAAATGCATTTCAAAGTTCTCCAGGATGACTGTGGTGCTGTCCCCTTGAAGCTAGCACTTGATCAAAAGCTTTAGGGAGTTGTCTGGCCTTCACACTATTTGAACTAAAATCAGCAGCAGCTCACCTCCCATTGATTGTATTTACTGAGCACATACTATGTACCAGGTACGGGGACAGAAGGTGAGAATCCAGTAGTGACCCCCACACCCCATACAAATGATGTAGTGACCCATTCTCAGCCCTCATGAAAGTTAGGGGGTAATGGGGGAGTCAGAGTGAACAAAAGATGAGCACAAATAAGGGAAAGCATGTGATGGTTATATGTGGCCTGAAGGGAAGGTAGCTGGTGCAGTGAGATTGAGCAGTGGTCCTTATGCCTCTTGTATCCACATCCCCAGGCCTCCCACTGCTACTACATCCAACTTGTAAAATCTTATCTTCTGAAACACAGAGAGCGTAAGTAACTTATTCAGTAGCAGGGATCAAGTCTAGGGAGGCTGACTCCAAAGCTC